ATCTTTATCTTAAGTCCATTGTAGATTTAGTCGTGAAAAAAATTATTCCAGTGTTTCCACATACTACGTTATAATTCATAGCATTTTCGTGAAGAAAAGTGTCTTCTCTTTCTCATCTCTTTTACGCGATATAACATGTTAAAATAAAATGAATGGTGTATTTTGAAAGTAAAAGCTTTAAACGAATCTAGATTTGTTGTTGTACAATTTTGTTTCACGAAATTGTAACAGTTTAAATATTGAATGTCCGAATATTAACGTGACTAACTACATGTATATCTATGTATTTGTAAAATAAATTTAAATGTAAACTTGCAATTTAATTAATTAAATTTAAGTTTACATTCTAATATAGACGTTGGGTAATATGTGTAATTTTAACTTAATATAAATTATTCAATTCCACATCATAATTTGACGTATTTATATCCGTTTTTTCCCTTGGGTTTAAAAATCGTCAGAAAAAAATCATTCTTCCCCAATATTTAACTATAATACTTGTCATACCGCAATTAGAGAAGATGAAACATATATAGACGATAACATAAATAATTAAACTAAAAATTAAATTTTATGTAGGATATATGAAAAAAAAAATTCGAGACTTGAGTCTCGTTTTAACATAGTAAAAAAGTTTATACTAAGGAAAATGAAAAGAATTAATTGTAAGATTTTTTAAAGAAATATTTTATTCGTCATTGCTTCCTGTTATGCAACGAATTCGTTTCTTTGTACTGGAACAACATCACTATCATCGATAGAAGTAACTTCTGTGTTGTTATTTTGTTGTTTAATTGCGTGAATAAATCAGTTTAATTTTTAATTGTATCATTCTATGCATAAATTGTGTGTGAAAAAAGGGTAAGATATAAACTAATATTGGGATATAAACTAATAATATGAAAACAAAAAGCGGAAAATTTTACGCATGACAGAAGAATGAAATTTCTTGAACAGTAGATAATAGAATAGTTTAGGAGGTAAACAATATGTCTAGAATAAACCTAATATTTAATTTAAAAGAACCGAAGGAAACTAAAGTAGGAATAGAAAAATAGTTTGCAACACGAATCCAATTCTTTTTAGAAATAATTTCTAGTAGAAATTCGATTTTATTTATAACAATTATTTATTTA